AAGTTGTAACATTCACACTTTATGGCCATAATTAGCCATTATGTAATTGTAACCGAAATTAAATAAAAAGTCTTAAAACACAATAACTCTAAATTATAACCCACCCAAAATTTACAACAATCAAACTTTATTCTTCTTCAATGTAGCATGAATTGAAACATCTTTTGATAATTTTGACAACCTTTTCTTCACATCTTCATTGAAGCATATTGTATGATTGATGTCTCTTGGTTCATATCATTCTCCACTTCTTCAAGAGGATTCGTCCTCGAATCTATTTGTGTAACTTTGCTGCAAAAAATAAGTTATGGAAATACATAGGACCTCACAACACTCTCTCACGTGTATACACTCAAGGAATTTTAGGCCACTCTTTTTACACACATTTACACAAATGAAGCTCTCATTCTCACCTCTCAAAATTGTAAATAGAGCAAAAATTGAATTTTGAACTTTGGGTCGATTAAAAACTAAAAAGATGAAAATAAATAAAAATCAAATTGAGAAGAAACGCAAAGGAAACATATATCCGATCTTGAGCCTGAAGCTCTGATACCAAATGATAAGATAAGGAATCAATACAAGGGGAATAAGATTCGGATTACCTTGTTGATCGAATATCTCAAGCCAAGAACACTTTGTTTGAGATTCGAATCACTCCAGAAGCAAGATCGATCATGTCTAGCTTCAATGATTCTTGTTGATCAAATATCTCAAGACAAGAACACTTGATTGAGATTCGAATCACTCCACAAGCAAGATTGATCATGTCGAGCTTGAATGATTCTACATGCAACCTAAACTACATAGAGTTGCAAAGAAACTTAGCCATTGGCTAAAGAAAAGCACAAATGCTTCTTTTGATATATCTTCTAAGTCTTATTACAAATACAACATAGATGGCTTTATATAGCCTCAAAATGAAACTATTAAAGGCATTCCAAAAGTTGTAACATTCACACTTTATGGCCATAATTAGCCATTATGTAAATGTAACCGAAATTAAATAAAAAGTCTTAAAACACAATAACTCTAAATTATAACCCACCCAAAATTTACAACAATCAAACTTTATTCTTCTTCAATGTAGCATGAATTGAAACATCTTTTGATAATTTTGACAACCTTTTCTTCACATCTTCATTGAAGCATATTGTATGATTGATGTCTCTTGGTTCATATCATTCTCCACTTCTTCAAGAGGATTCGTCCTCGAATCTATTTGTGAAACTTTGCTGCAAAAAATAAGTTATGGAAATACAAAGGACCTCACAACACTCTCTCACGTGTATACACTCAAGGAATTTTAGGCCACTCTGTTTGCACTCATTTACACAAATGAAGCTCTCATTCTCACCTCTCAAAATTGTAAATAGAGCAAAAATTGAATTTTGAACTTTGGGTCGATTAAAAACTAAAAAGATGAAAATAAATAAAAATCAAATTGAGAAGAAACGCAAAGGAAACATATATCCGATCTTGAGCCTGAAGCTCTGATACCAAATGATAAGATAAGGAATCAACTACAAGGGGAATAAGATTCGGATTACCTTGTTGATCGAATATCTCAAGTCAAGAACACTTTGTTTGAGATTCGAATCACTCCAGAAGCAAGATCGATCATGTCTAGCTTCAATGATTCTAGTTGATCAAATATCTCAAGACAAGAACACTTGATTGAGATTCGAATCACTCCACAAGCAAGATTGATCATGTCGAGCTTGAATGATTCTACATGCAACCTAAACTACATAGAGTTGCAAAGAAACTTAGCCATTGGCTAAAGAAAAGCACAAATGCTTCTTTTACTATATTTTCCCCGTCTTAATACAAATACAACATAGATGGCTTTATATAGCCTCAAAATGAAACTATTAAAGGCATTCCAAAAGTTGTAACATTCACACTTTATGGCCATAATTAGCCATTATGTAATTGTAACCTAAAGTAATTAAATAGTCTTAAAATACATTAATGAAATACAATAACTCTAAATTGTAATCCACCCAAAATTTATCATATGAAACTTTATTCTTCTTCAATGTTGCATGAATTGAAATATCTTTTGATGATTTCAACAATATTTTCTTCACATCTTCATTGAAGCATATGTTATGATTGATGTCTCTTGGTTCATATCAAAACCACTTGGTCTGTTCCACGCTTAGAGGTTAAAAGATTTATTTGAAATGTTTGCTGAATTTGGGCATTGTTCTTCCTTTTATTGTAACCATTTTTCTTTTGGTTTATACCCAATCTCGGAACAACTATAAAAGTCGTGTATGACCATTGAACTCAAAAGCTTAAACCGACTAAAACTTTAAATTTAATTATATTAATATTTCAACACTCCCGTGTACAGTTTCTTTGATACCATATTAAATCAACCGTCTAACTTAAAATTTAGCAAATTTAAACTAATGAATTATAATTGAGTTTGAAGGTAACTACGAATGTATCTCATTTCAAGATTGAATTTATATAAATAATCTAAAAAATATTAACTTCATCAATAATTCAACTACTTAAACATCTCTGGATCGAGCAACGACTGATGGCAATATGGTAATGAGTCTTATCAAACAATCTAAGAAGTTTGAGTTATGAGTAGTTGCATAGTCGATTACTACTACAGGTCGAAACTTATGTCAACACTTGTCGAATAAGAGAGTTTTCAAAAAGTAAGAGTTTTTTTTTTATTATTATTATATAATTGTTTCATACTATGTATATTTTTCATAAAACGTTTGGAAAATATATATATACACGCATATACTAATTATATATTACGAAGGGACATGATACTAACGAAGAAATATATCAAATATATATTAGCAAATAAGTACATGTATCGAGTCTATATAAATCTATAATATGTGGTGAAATAATACACCACATATTTTGAATTATATCAATTAATATACTCGAGTATCATATTAAATTATATTGATAAAAAAATGATTTATTTATTTAATTAGATTTAAGTAACTCAGTTGTGAACTAAATAGTTTGAATATCTTTAAAGTTTTATTAGTTATAAAAGTTGATGATATCCCTCAAAATCATACTTTTCATAGTAATAAATAAATTAAATAAAATATAAAGATTTAAACATTTAATATAAAAAAAAATAGATATCAATTATTTAATTTGAATTTGGATCACGTTGATATTTTTCATTATTTAAAAGATGATATTAGTTAAAAAAAAAAAAAAAAAAAAAAGTAAAGAAAAAGATGCGGGCAGGCGGGCAGGCGGGCAGAGCATAAAGGAATCTCAAATTAGGACGCGGCGAATCTAATTCGGTTAATTATTTTAGAAAAAATAATAAAAATACTTTTCTTGGTTTTACTTTTGAATTGTTATTATTCAGATCTTCCCTTACTTTCCTTTTTTAACTTTAACTTTACTTGTGGTAAGGAATATTTACCTATTTAAATTTAAATTATAAAATTATAAAATTTTGGATATGAATTTCATAAACTTACCTTCCATTTTTATTTTATGTTTTTTAAAAACCCTATCCATTTTCTCTCAATTATTTATGCAAAACAAAATTTTAAATATAAACATTTAGATATATATATATATATACATATATTTGTTTTTAAAATTTGGTTTAAAATAAAAATAAAACATTTATTAAATAGACAATTTAGATCAAAATAATATTCTTATTATTATTATTATTAATATTATGTCTCCCTTTCCTTTCCTGTTCTTCCACCTTTCTTCCTAAAGAAACAAACCAGATCCCACAAATCTGGAGGAGACACTTCCTATGTTTCTGCCTCCATAGTTCTCATTTCTTTTCTGTCCTCCGAATAAAGAGGAAAGATTAAGCATATATATATATACACACACACATGAAGCGAATAAAGGAAGGCAGTGGCAACAGCTATGCTCACATCTATGAACCAGGGAGAAACATGCGTATCAACTTTTATAATAACTTTAAATTTTTTACTAAAAAGAACAGGAAAACATCACTTTAATATAAGCTTTTATGATTTTGCTTTCAAATTTTCCAAAAGATTTCGTACCAAGGTAGATATATTCTTTGCTTATAAACCGATCATAGAAAATGAGACTCAATATTTTGACCGTTAATTTTTATTTATTTCTTTTACTCATATAACTATATGATTTAGTTCATTAATTCGAAGTTTATAAAAATGAAGATATCTATTCACACCTCTTTTCTAAAAAAAAATAAAGAAGTTTATGTCTCGAATCTCACAGGTAGAGATATTAATAATACACGTAGAGTTAATGGTATTTCATAACTAATTGATTGAGCAGCGCCTCATCGACCACCTAAAAAGGAATATTTATTATTGGATCTATATCCTAACATAAGAAATGGCAATCCATAAAAAAAAACACAGATCTAGGCTAAGGCCATAATCAAAAGGAATTACTCCCTAAATTAATTAAAGTGGGACTCACTCCCAACTTTCTTCCACGAATTAAAAAATATATGATTTAAGTGTTTAATAAATTATATATATATATATATATATATATATATATGAAAAATGAAAATTGATTTTTTCTTTTTTTTAATTAGAATCCAAAGCAACATTCTCCAAGAAAGCTGGAAGTACGGTAGGTCAGCAATCCTCGGTTGTGGGGTGGTCAATCTGGGAGACTTTTTTAAGTCAGAATTTTCAATTTCTTATAATCTCAAACTTAGCTTATTTTAGTAATCTATTTTCATTTTATTTGATAAAAAAATAATCCATTTTAAAAACAACAATGGATCAAGTTCTTCTTCAATAAATCTTTTTTTTTTTTTTAATTTTTTATAAATTTATTAAATTTTGAATGAAATTTGAGATTTAAAATGGTGTAATATGAGCCTAGAACCGAAATTAAAACCAATACATATTTTTATAATTTAATCTTCTCCATTGGAAGAACACATTTTTTGTACTATAAATACAGCCCTCTGTTTTCATCTTCTCCACCAATTTCAAACCAAAACCCCAAGTTTTGTGTTTGAAATCGGTACCCAAAATGGCGATGTCCAAAGCATTCTCTGAATCTGATGTTTCTATACATTCCACATTCGCCTCCCGCTATGTCCGGGACTCTGCTCCTCGGTTCACCATCCCCCAAAGCTCCATGTCCAAGGAGGCCGCCTTTCAGATCATCAACGACGAGCTCATGCTGGACGGCAACCCACGTCTCAATTTGGCATCCTTCGTCACCACATGGATGGAGCCCGAATGCGACAAGCTCATCATGGACTCAATCAATAAAAACTACGTCAATATGGACGAGTACCCTGTTACCACCGAGATTCAAAATCGGTGTGTCAACATGATCGCCCATTTATTCAACGCTCCATTGGGAGATTCCGATGTAGCGGTGGGAGCCGGGACGGTGGGGTCGTCAGAGGCCATCATGTTGGCAGGGCTTGCCTTCAAGAGGAAGTGGCAGAGGAAGCGGAAGGGTGAAGGGAAGGCTCATGACAAGCCTAATCTTGTGACGGGTGCCAATGTCCAAGTGTGCTGGGAGAAATTTGGTAGGTACTTTGAAGTGGAGCTGAAGGAAGTGAAGGTGAGAGAAGGGTATTACGTGATGGACCCTGTTGAGGCGGTTGAGATGGTGGATGAGAACACCATTTGCGTTGCAGCCATTTTGGGGTCCACTTATAATGGTGAATTCGAGGATGTGAAGCTGCTGAACGATTTGTTGATGAAGAAGAATAAGGAAAGTGGATGGGATACGCCTATTCATGTGGATGCGGCTAGTGGTGGGTTCATAGCGCCGTTCTTGTATCCAGAGCTGGAATGGGACTTCCGGCTTCCTTTGGTGAAGAGTATCAATGTGAGTGGGCATAAGTATGGGCTTGTGTATGCTGGGATCGGGTGGGTGATTTGGAGAACCAAACAGGATTTGCCGGAAGAACTGATTTTCCACATCGATTACCTTGGAGCTGATCAGCCCACCTTCACTCTCAATTTCTCTAAGGGTAAGATTCTTCCCCCAATCTTCTTGCTTCACATACAACACCCACTAATCTTTGAATTATGATCAATTTTTCAGGGTCTAGCCAAATCATAGCTCAATATTACCAACTAATACGCTTGGGTTTTGAGGTAAGTCTTGCTTGGGTTTTAACATAGGTACCCACCCTATTTCACATTTTATTCAACTTAAATTACATACCTACCCTCCTAACTTATCTCATCTCATTTTGTATCATACACAAATATCTTGTATCCATTTATTAATATTGTTAGGGTGGTCTCAGTTTAGCAACATTTATTCTTTATTTTCAACCGAACATAGCCTATTTCATTTTCTTCCTAATCGACCCTTCTCCCATAAACCTTAACCTCTAACCTCATTATCCTCATCAGGGTTCTCATCGAAAATATATGGGAATCTCAACAAGCCCATATCGACCTTCTGCAAAGATTTATCCTTAGAATTCGATGGCTGCACTGGCCTCTTCGCCCTTGCCCTGGGGTGGCTCCCTCTCCGTCCATTGGAACTTCACCACCTGTTATGGCACCGACTACTTCTCCACCGACTCCGCCTACTACTCTATCGTCGGCCTCCACTCTTGACAATGTTGGTGCTGTGAACAGAATCGCTGTCTCTGGATCTATCATTCATTCACTCCTAAGAGTCTCTTTATTAGTCCATTAAAATATGCTCAAGATATTCTTACTCATGCTCATTTGCTCGATAGCAAACCAGTCCACAAGGCGCTCATCTCTACCCTTCTCTTTGTTTCTTCGTCTAAAATACACCTCAGGCATTCTCAGTTTCTGCCATGTTCTTCCTCTCTTGCTCGAACTGCCATCATGTCTATCCTTCCTTCTTCGTACTACCATCGATCTCTCTCTCTCCATTTTTTTCATAACAGAGTCATCACCCTAATTCTGAAGTGATAATAACATTGTATTGTAATGGGTATATATAATTCATAGGGATACCGCAATGTGATGCAAAATTGTCACGACAACGCAATGGTGTTGAAGGAAGGGCTGGAGAACACAGGGAGATTCAGCATAGCATCCAAGGACATGGGAGTCCCCGTGGTGGCGTTCAGTCTCAAAGACAGAACTCGCCACGACGAATTTGAGGTGTCAGAAATGTTACGACGGTTCGGGTGGATGGTGCCGGCGTATCCAATGCCAGAGGGGGCCAAGCATGTGTCAGTTCTTCGTGTGGTGATTAGAGAAGATTTCTCTCGCACCCTTGCGGGGCGTCTTGTGCAGGACATCGTGAAGGTTCTGGGAGAGCTAGACAGTCTTCCACCAAATAAGAACATGGGTGCACCGCAGGTTTGATGGGGTATTAAATCATCAACAGTTACAACTTTGAGGCACCAAGTATAACAACATAACTTTCTTATTTCTTATTCTCACTCACTGCATATGCTAGCCCATCTATGTACTCAACCCAAACTACAACCATGTCAAGGCCCATGTACCCCACCCTCCTCAATTAAAATGGGTTGGTTTGGATTGAGTTGACGGTATGAAATTTGTAATCTTTATCGCTAGCGGATTGGGTTGGATCGATGAAATTTATAATTTAAATTTTTACCTTAGCACATATTATATATTGTCCTTTTTTTGAGCGTTTTCAGACTTCCTTTCAAGGTTTTTAAAATGCGTTTGCGGTGTAAAAGTTTCCCTCTTCAATTAACGTGCGATCTCACAATACACCAGGACTCAATGTCTCGATGTCTGCTTACTATTTGTAACAATTCAATCCCACCCCTAAAAGGTATTGTTCTCTTTTGTAATTTGTAAATCACTCATTAATTAAATTGAACTTTAAATAAAAGTGAAAAAAAGACCATATCATAATTATTTTTTTAAAAATATGATCGGTAAAGCAAAGTAAGAGTGAGGTAATGAATTATAATTGCCAAAAATGTACGTTCTTAATAATTGATTTACTTAATCTAATATATTATTAACTATTTTTGTTAAATCTAAAGTTTTTAGTAATCATGAAGTTCAATCAAACAAAATTTCGATAATTATTATCCTCGAGTCTGTTTTTACTTGTCGTTTTTGTAAATAATATCTATTCATCTCGTGCATGTTGAGAATGTGACCAAAATTACACATTTACTAAATCAAAATGACAATGTCATATTATTGTGGAACATTTAAAAAGTCGTTATCACGATCCAATGGTTTCTCATCTAAAAAAATTTTAAATGAGAAAATCATTTCGAGAAAATCCCAAAAAAAAAAAAATATATATATATATATATATATTTTGAAATTATTAGAGTAAATGATGCAAATTATTTATTTATTTATTGGTTAAGAATGATTATTCCAGCTGTACATGGGCCTGGGTTTTCAAAAACCTTGTGATTGGAGTTCTTTTTCTCAAAAATAAAATTTAAAAAAATATGTTATTATTATTATTATTATAATTTTTAATTTTGGAGGTTGTGGGCCAGCCCAGAAAGCCCATTATGGGATTAGGCACTCTCCCCACCGTGTGATTGATCCACGAGGGCACAAAACACCACAAATCCCATGCCTCCTCTGCCGTCTGATTCTGCATCATTCAATCAATCAATCAATCAATCAATCAGTCAATGTTCTCCCGAAATACAATGTCTTTTTTGTCCTCAAATCAACACAAATTATTCTCCACCGTTCAAACTCCCCCATCATCATCATCATCATCACCAACAAAACAAAATATAAATTAAATACATAATATTGGGTCCCACAAACAACCATCCATATGGAAAATCTTCTTCCTCCATTCCCACCCCTCGTGGACCCCACACACACATGTCACACCACACCACACCATGGGGCCCACTCAAAAAAACACACACACAACAACGTACAATACATAATACCCATTTGATGACATAACAAACAACAAAATTCAAACTTCGGTGTTTCCTCATTTATAGCATTCTAAGTATGTTCATTAACTAAACCTATGTTTTTTTTTTTTTTTTTTTTTTTTTTTTTTTTTTTTTTTTTTTTTTTTTT